CCCACACCCCACACCCACACCCACACCCCACACCGACACCCACACCCCACACCCACACCCACACCCCGTTATGTAATGATAAGGTTTTTTCAAGTACGAATTTCTTTTTTTTATGGAGAAATAAAATTAACCTATTGACTCTTCTAAAACTGTCGGTTTTTTATTTCGAAAAAATAATAACATTCAAAATTCTCGATTTTTGTGTCATGTTATGGAAAAATCCTCTCATGTACATATTAATTTATGCTTCATTGATTTAACTATGAAATAAAATGAAAAGTTCTTTTATTCGAAAAATCATACTGTACTATTAATAATTAAAACTCCATTTTCTAGTTTTAAACCATGCCAATTACCTCACATTATACAAAAAATAAATGTGGATGTGTGCACTCTTTTTGAAACGAATTTTATTAGACAAAAACGAATTTGTTTCGTGTTTGACAACACATGTCGTCTGTGTTTCACCCTCACTGTTTTATTTTTACTGTATACAGTTATTCGCAATAAAGCACGCAATTGATAAGAAAGAACAAAAAGAAGGAAGAAAAGAAGCATAAAATTTTGTCGGCTTGCAAAAGTAATAAACGAGTCATTCGACAAACAAGCGAACAGTATCACATACAAAATAATAGGCGAAATTGACAGCTGCACGTCATTGAAGTTTCTTCGATTGCTCTGGTTCTGATTATTCAACTGTGGTGAGTAATTGATTAAGATTATTCGAAAAGCGAAAGAAAGTATTTTTAAATTATATACACTGATTAACTGATAAATATTCAGTATTAAACCGAGTAGAATCAATCAAACCATCAGCATAATGTAATTGGAAATTTGAGCGTAAGTAGATATAAAAATAATACCATCATACGAATAAAATGTTGATAGAACTGATCCGATCGCTCCCAGTCGGTGTCGATATGAGTCGTCAAAAATTTTGTCCGATTTCATTTGTGACATGAATAAAGAAAAAAAGTCCAGCAAAAAGAAGGAAAATGAGAAGTATCATATTCTAAAATTCTGAAAATATTTTGTATTTCCTCGACTGTTATACTCATACCCGTTTTCGCATTATACTGATCTCAAAAATTATGAATACGACGACCATAGACGGAAATCATGTGTTTGCATAAGTAGTGTGCAGAAATTTATCTTTATATGATGCCACATTTTTCACAATTATCCCATACTGAATCGTCTTCTTATTATTTTTTTTTGCAAAGATAAATATGGCATACACGAGAAAATTGTGCCCTTAGTTGAGTCATTTTTTAATGTCTCATTCAACGATTCTATTCAAAACGTCTTGTTGATCTTTCCCAAGTCGAATAAGTATTATAATAAACGACCATTTCCGATCATGTTTTGCTGTTTTACTATGCGACGTATTAGAACTGTATTTCATCGTATATAATAAACGATCATAGACAGTTGTGTAAGTCATGGTTGCGATCGTTTGATGAACCGTCAGTAACAGTGTTAACACGGTAAAATACACTCGGAATTTAGCTTATACCAAACGATAAATTACGGATTTTTCTGACAATAAACTCTAAAAACGACAGTATGTGGTATTATTTTGGGGAGGTTGACATCACCATTCTAGGTAGCTTCATTTTATAAAGAAAACTGATCTTATTCTGTAAAAAAAGAAAGGAAGAAAAAGAATAGAGACAAAAAAACTACAATAAGGGTACGTGGTCGAGTGATATCAGGTGATAAAGCAGAAATAGATAAGCAAATGAAGAACAGCGAAATTCTATACTACAGAAATATGCAAGTTAAAGGTGGTATCCTACGACTCTTGAGACTTCACAAAGAATGACTTTGTAATTCAGATAGCATCGTCTAATAAAGAAGGAAGATTCTCAAAATTGAAACAATCTTCTTTGAAGATAGATTCTGAAAAAACCCCACTTTTTCATATACTATTTCCAACGTAGGCAAATACAATCGAATATTCCAATGGACAAAAGCGTCTTTCACGCGATTGACTGTTAAAGAATCGGTTAACAAAAGCTCTTCATTTATCAAGCGAAATCTTCTCTCTATTTTAACTCAAATTAGATTCAGTCGTCACACAGGCGAAGACTAATATCTATGTTCTCTTTGCCGCTCTCCAAGAGTCGTAAAATCATTTTGTCATTATTCGTTTGTATAGCAATATGTCGTTGGGCGAAACGAAGGTTTGAAAATTTTATCTCTCATTATAAAATTATGTAGAGATATTTTTATATATTTCTTTCAATTTCCATAAATAATTCGTTCCAAAAAGATTTTCTCTCTCTTCCTCTTTTTACGCAACATTTCTTAAACGAGATTGTTGCCATGTAGGAAAATGATGGATTAGTGTGATGTTGAGCAGAATAAAATCCTAATTCTTTCTTCTTGTCACATCCACCATGGGTTAATGAAAACAGATATAGTCTAAAGTTGATTTGCAATCGAAAAGAAAGTGTCGATTGTTAATAATACTTACGATATAATCAATATGAACGAAGAATGATTTCCACATTTGGAAGATAATTCTGTGGTCTTATGACTAGATGTTATATGTAAGCATGATTTCTCTTCTTGGCTATAACAAAGATCAATCTTTTTTGTGACACTTTTTTCGACATTAGGGTAGATTTCTAAAATCAAGATCCTCTGTCTTCCTGAGAACAATGTCATCTAAAAATCCCAAAGAATATTGAGGAAATGAAGATTACAATTCATATTTCGATATCGTATGTATGGAAAATCCAACCAAATGGACAAACTTTTGTAGCAAAATTGAGTCTATCATTTTTGCTAGTTTCAGTTTACAGAATTTTGTCAAACACTCGAACTTGTCCGTTCAGATGAGAAACAACAGATTTTTTGAAAAATTTATCAGTCTTTTCAACAAATAAAAACACATCCATTTGATGGATTCAAGTGACTTTGCTGTAGAAATCTAAATAAGAAAAAAACAACACAAATACAATTCAGATCATCTCTTAGTGAAATTGATACAATATCAATTAATCATGCAGAACTTAAGGAGATTAATCCTAAATCTCTGCATCTTATATTTATGTTCTTATCAAAAGAGAGTTAAGACTAGCTGGAAGTAATTTTCTTCAACGAATAAGAAGGCATTCTTCTTCCATTTTCTTACTGCATGTCAGAATTTAAAAAGCTCATATAACAATATTTCTAACAAACACGATAAAAGTGGAAATGTGATATTGTATTTCGCTAGTAGAACACAGACTTAATTCGATAATTAAATCTAAAAGATGACATTTAGTCGTTCTATACTATTTAGTCTTTTTGATTAACATGGCCACCACTGCTTCAACAGATGATGGCTTTCACACAAGCGCCGACGATACACATCTCGAAATATTCTCTCTTATTTGGCTTGATGCGAATGTTAAGGAGATCCGAGACACAGAACAAAAATTACGTTCTATTATCAATCATCTGAAGAAATTTCAAGATATAAAACAGTGTCAAGAATATATTGAACACAAATCAAAAAAAGATCGACTAGTGCTCATTGTTAGTGGTCAGTTAGGACGAGAAATAGTGCCTTCCATACATAAACTCCGACAAGTCACATCGATTTACGTCTACTGCATGGATAAGAAAGAAAACGAACAATGGGCCTGCAAATTTTCAAAGGTAAGATTGTGCTAAAAAAATTTCACTTTCATTGAATCGTCTTGGTAGGTGAAGGCTATTGTTGTTGAAGTTGATGATCTCATCTCTCGAATAGAAGCAGATCATAAAATCCAAAAGAAGCTAGAAGAACCATTGTCGATCAATATTTTCACCAGAAATGGTGGTGCCGACAAATCAACAACAGGAGTAAATGGTCAATTTGTTTTCTCTCAAGTCCTCATCGATTGTCTCCTTCGACTAAAATCCAATAAAACAGAGAAAAATGAACTTATTACTTATTGCAAAAATGAATATGAAAACAACAACAGTGAGCTAAAAAATCTTCGTGAGTTTCAGCAGAATTATTCACCTTACAAAGTCTTATGGTGGTACACGCGAGAATCATTTTTCTACAAGACTTTGAACAAAGCTCTACGTTCGCAAAATATTCATATGATTTTCCTGTACCGTTCCTATATTTATGACATTCACCGCCAGCTTCAGTGGTATCAGTCTGACCATCCATTACGAGTTTATCGGAGTCAGCTGATGTCGGGTGATGAGCTGAATGTTCTTAAACGTTGTATCGGCCAGTTCATTTCTATAAACTCATTTCTTTCTAGTAGTAAGGAACGTTCAATAGCTATTTTCTATATGGGCGATAGAGATCAACTGATAGATTTGGAACGAGTATTGTTCGAGATCGATGCTGATCCTAAGATGGTTACTACAAAACCATTTGCTGACATCAGTAAACATAGTGAATTCGCTGATGAATCAGAAGTACTTTTTATGATTGGTTCTATATTTCGTCTTAATAGTATTAATCATAATGATGCGGATAAAATGTGGATCATTCGAATGACTTTATGTAGTGATGATGAACATAATTTAAAACAAGTTCTTATCCATATGAGACAACAAATTGGAGGCGGAGAAACAAATCTTCAAACATTAGGAAAGGTATTATGGAAAATGGGTAAACTTGATTTAGCTGAAAAATATTTTAATCGTTTATTGAAAGAACTCTCACCAAATGATCCTTTACTTAGCAGTTTATATGAAGATCTTGGTGAACTTGCATCACAGGCGGGCAACTATGATATGAGTGTTCAATGGCATCAAAAATTACTCGCCATCAAAAGTAAGAATCAGTTAACTACCATTGATACGTTCATTGAAAGAGAGTTTGTCCCTTTTAAATGCGTACTATGTATATATAAACATGAGTATCTTATTATCAAAAAAGAGCTGTCAAAATTCAGAAAGACAAGAGATGTTGGAAGACATACTCAACTCTACGAAAAGCGTTCTGTTTCCTGTTTATCAAGAAATCATTTTCGATATTAGAAATTGTTTACAATTACAAGCAAATTAATAGAATAATTATTGAATAGCATCATTCCTCCTTAAATTAAATTTCATCTTTCCTTGCCATTAATAGACACTTCTTACGATAAAATTGATATTTATTTTTTCTTTTGTCATTCTACATGATGACACTAATGTCTATCAAACCGCAGGTCTTTCTATTTGATAGGAAAATATGTATGGGAAGATAAACATTGTTCATTCTTTGATTGAATGTAGTAGCAAAATAGCATAATAATTATTTCTCAATGTATTCTTATATTTTCTAACAAGTTATATATATACCGTATCGCTAGTCAATATAAACTCAGACTGTTTAACCATAAAAGTGTAATTCTCGAAAACTATATCTATAGATAATTACATATCTCAATTTTTGCTGAATTGCACGTATAGATATTTACTAGAGCCTCATTTACACTCTTATTGTTCATCCAATCCAAAGAATGTTGAAGTATAATCATTATCTAACGAGGGAATCTCTCGAGGTGATAAAAAGTTTTTGGATTCAGACTATTTTTATCTTATAAACCCTAGTGGGTAGTGAAATATCCTAAGTTGGTTCGTGACCATATCGCTTCGAGAGAGAGCTATGGCTAATTTACTGGTTTTTTATTTATGGTACCATATAAGTAATAGTACTAAATTTGTTTTTTTAATACAATCTATTAAGTGATATTAAAATGAAATGCAAAAATGTCCCACCCCTTATGATCTAATGGTACCAACGAGTTTGCAACAAAAATCAGTTCTTATCGAAATTTTATTATTATGATATCAGTTGAATCGTGATCAAATAGCATAGAAAGATAGAGCAAAAGACGCTCTATCTGTTCATAAAAAAGAAAGCTTCCTAAAGCTTTTTATACGGAAATCGTCTTCATGGGCCACTACTTTTGGATACCCTAAGTATTTGAAGTTAATTCTAGGTGTTATTTTTATCTAACCATTGAAACCGCTTTCTTTCAATCTATACATTTCAATCACTGTTCGTTTCATCGAAAAAATATAAATATTAAATGGAAAAAGATAGAATTGTGTAACAACCTAAATCGATCAAATTACATTCGTCGTATATTGGAATATGTATAGAAAAATTACTAATACATAGTTGATGTCGCTATTCCGTACGTTTTGACGACGCATGTCTTTTACGATCTATCTTTCTTTTCACATTATCAGATCACGAATGATTCTGTAGATATTGACAAGAAAGTATAGAATACGAGAAAATGAACATTAATATAAGACAAAAGATCGTAGTATTGTAGACTCATAAATTAACAAGTTCCGATAAATATCCTTAAATGTGCATTATTATCAACAGTTCCAAGTAAAACTCGAGAACAGTTTGTTTATATAAATCTATTCGAGAGAACAAGATTTGTCTAAACTTCGATGACGTTATTAGGCTAATGTGTCATAGATTACACAAACTTTTCTCAAAAACCTTTTACCACCTCAAAGAGATGGATATGGATATCGTTTTTGTTTTCAATACCTACTATATATACCTGAGTGAATTGCAACTTTATTTAACCGTTTATATTTCCAGATGTAAAAGTTGAATAAGCCCAGTTCCTCAAGATCAATCTTTGTGAAACTTTCAAGTTAGATTTCTATAGTTAGTGCACACTATCACACAAAAATCACGAAATTATTTATCATTAGCCCATCTTGAGATACTATATGCACAAGGTTTTAAAAACTAGCTTTTGCTATCATCTGTTGATAGAAAAAGACATGTAACCGATTGATTTCTCGTCATTTGAATTTTGACAGTTCGTGATATTCATAGTAGACAGTGTATAAGTCTCTGATATGAGACTGATTGGTTCTCTAATCATAGTTCATATTACATTTTTTTCTGAATATCACATGCACCCTCAATGTGCAATTTGGTTGGTGTCACACGAGATTCAAAAATGACCTTGGTATGCAACAACACAGTAGAAATTGGTCGGATCAGTGTTGAATGAAGAAAGTCAAGCCATGGGAAATAAAATTGCTTAAGACGACGCGACAGTTTTACTTATTCTTGTTAACATAAGAATGCAAAATAAAATTTCAAAATTCGATGGTCATACTAAATGTCACATGAGATGTAATATTTTGTTTAACGTATAACTCTCTTAAATTAAAGCAGACTGAAACGAAACTTTTATCATTTTTCCACTAATTGTGGTCAACTGTTGTCCAAAATATAGCGATTAGGAAACGTATCTTTCGTATAAAAGAAAAAAATATAGCGTGAATATATCATATGAGATTTCTTAGTAAACTATCAATTAATATTTTTATGTGTATAACTACCTCATAACTAAGGCTAAAGTAAATACATTACATGTTACTTAATTTCCTGTTAAATTAATTATCAAAAATCGTGCGAGTACCCTCTAATTTATTTCTCAGGATTCACCCACAAAAATCCCAGTTATTGTATATAACAAATAACACACAGTATTAGAGTCGTGTGATTAAGCTTTGTTGAATTGAACTCTCAATCATATTCGAGTGATATGAGCAAAGTCGTTTCTATATATAAAATGAAGTATTTTCAACACGTTCAATGATCTTCGTATATCAGAGCTATACTGAAAGTGGTAGTTGGGAAATTTTATTCTTTTATTCTTCTCATATAGTACAGTGCAAAAACACTACTTATCAGCTTTCAAATCGACATTTTTTTTCATTCGTTTTTTTTCTTCAAAACAGTACAATAAAGTTGCAATTCACTCACCTACATCCACTTCATTCCACCCAATAGTTTTACTGCCGTTTAAGGTCTTATTGTAGATAAATGCTTTAGACTGTTATGTAAAAACACTATTTGATAAGCAAAGATTTGTGATCCAAATAAGCAATTCTAAAAAAAAAAGTTCATGACTATGAAAATGATCAGAATGCTTCATTTTCAAATCAAAATGCATTTAAATCTTGATTGTTATCATTAGATACTTTCATTTTTGAAGAAATATTCTAAGAGTGAATAAAATAGTATTTGAAAATAAACAACAATCTTTTTGGTTTTCAATAATGTTGAGAAAATCACTGATCACTCTGTTAAAATTTCATTTCTACTTCACAAGTTTGTTTCATTTAAGTACCATTACGTGCAAGTTCGGTTAATATTCCTCTGAATGCAAAATGGGCCCGGAATGGTATCACTGTGGCTGGAGAAAATGCAAGATGGGCTCAGATTGGTATCACTGTGGCTGGAGGAAATGGAAAAGACAATGGACAAGGCAATGGATTAAATCAACTCAATCGCCCATGTGGTTTATATGTCGATGATGATCAAACAATTTATATCGCTGATTGGGGAAATCACCGTATAGTGGAATGGAAGAATGGGGCAACGAGTGGCCAAGTAGTTGCCGGTGGAACTGGGTGGAAATTCTGGGCTACACTGTTGAAAAATCCATGTGATGTGATTGTCGATAAAGAGCGAGATAGTCTCATCATCTCCGATAATGGGAATAACAGAGTAGTTCGATGGCCTCGTCGAAATGGTACTAGTGGAGAAACAATAATCTCAAACATCGATTGCATCGATTTGACAATGGACGAGAATGGATCTCTCTATGTTGTGGACTATGGGAAACATGAAGTGAGAAGATATAGAATTGGTGAAACTGAAGGAATAGTGGTTGCAGGTGGTCATGGACCAGGAAATCGTCTCGATCAACTCAATAGCCCCCAATACGTATTTGTCGATCGAGATCATTCAGTATACGTGTCTGATTGGGGAAATAATCGTGTGATGAAATGGATGGAAGATGCAAAACAAGGCATTGTCGTGGCTGGTGGTCAAGAGCCAGGAAATAGTCTTACACAATTGAATCGTCCTCGAGGAGTTGTAGTTGATCAATTGGGCACTGTCTATGTGGTTGATCATGAGAGTCATCGAATCATGCGTTGGCCAAAAGGAGCCAAACAGGGAAGTGTGATTGCTGGTGGAAATGGTTATGGAGGACAGTCGAATCAATTATCTCTCCCCATAGGTTTATCATTCGATCGACAGGGCAATCTCTATGTCGCCGACGAGTACAATCATCGAGTACAAAAATTTACTATTGAGGGTAAGGGTGATGATGAATATTTCAATAGAAAAATTAGGTTGAGGATTGATTGATTACTCCTCAAAACAAAATATTCCAAATGAATAACTTAGAATTGAACAAAATATTTGATAATAAATAATCTTTGTTTTCAATGTTGAGAAAACAAACAAGTAATATAACAGTATTGGTAATGTAAGAAAAATGCAACAACTTTTTTTCATAATTGAGAGTAGTTTTCTCAAATGACTGTTCACTCTAGACGAAATGAATGATCACTCTATTAAGTACTGTTCAAGACAAATGAGAAGCTCATTTCAATCTAATCGATGTTATTTCTACTCCATATTTTTGTTTCATTGCAGTACCATTACGTGCAAGTTCGGTTGATATTCATCCGAATGCAAAATGGGCTAAGAATGGTCTTATTGTAGCTGGAGGAAATGGAGAAGGCAATGGATTAAATCAACTGAATTACTCATACGGTTTATATGTCGATGATGATCAAACTATTTATGTCGCTGATACGTGGAATCATCGCATTGTGGAATGGAAATATGGTGCGACGAGTGGCCAAGTTGTTGCGGGTGGAAATGGAGATGGAAATGGCGCTCATCAGTTAAGCTACCCCTACGATGTGATTGTTGATAAAGAGAGAGATAGTCTCATCATCAGCGATTTCGGGAACAGCAGAGTAGTTCGATGGCCTTGTCGAAATGGTACTAGTGGAGAAACAATAATCTCAAACATCGATTGCATCCGTTTGACAATGGACGCGAATGGCTCTCTCTATGTTGTTGACCGTGAAAGACACGAAGTGAGACGATATCGAATTGGTGATAGTAAAGGAACAGTGGTTGCAGGTTGTGGGTGTGGGTGTGGGTGTGGGTGTGGGTGTGAGTGTGGGTGTGGGTGTGCGTGTGGGTGTGGGTGTGGGTGTGGGTGTGGGTGTGGGTGTGGGTGTGTGGGTGTGTGGGTGTGTGGGTGTGTGGGTGTGGGTGTGGGTGGGTATGGGTGTGGGGTGTGGGTGTGGAGTGCGGATATGAGTCTAGTATTCCCTCTTACCCATACCCACAGTCACACCCACACCCACACCCACACTCACACCCACACCCACACCCACACCCACACTCACACTCACACCCACATCCACATACCCACACCCATCCACACACCCACCCACACCCACACCCACACCCACACCCACACCCACACCCACACCCACACCCTTGTTATTTTAAATTATTTATTCTCATAGTTGTGCGTCGGCGTGCACGCAATCTGACCCAGGTTTTTCCGATTTGATTTTTCCCTTTTGTCATTTTTTTATATTTGTAAAGGCCGTTCATTTCATGGGAAAAAAAGAATTTAGTTTACTTTGCTGTTCTCCGTTAGATTGCATCAATACTTTAACTATTTCTATTTAAGAGAGACGAAAAAAGCTAGTTTGCTTTATTTACTTTTTAACCGGCTTGTTTTGATAGTTATCGGAGATTTTACAGAGACAATAGAATAAAAAATGCTTTTCTTTTCTTTTTCAGTTAATTGTTCTGAGAATCGCTCATTATTTTTCCGTGAAAAACTTAACAGAGAAACGGCTAATGGTAGTTTAGTTTACTTTCTTTTTATTCTGTTTATTCCTATAGTTGCCGGGGATTTTACAGAAGCAATAAGATGACAAAAGCTGTTTTCTTTTTCTTTTTTTCCAATTGGTAATTCTGAGTATTGCTTGTCATTTTTCTGAGAAAAAACTAAAAGGTTAGTTGTGTTTAATTTTTGTCTTTTGTCACTGCGTTATTCTGAAAAGGGACGCGCATTTTATAAAAAAGAATAATCGAATAACCTAGTTTAGTGTTTTTCCCAAGGGGGAAAAAGCTGACTCTGAAGCATCGGAGTCAATAGAATCAATGGGAGTCAGCAGAGTCAACTGGAGTCAGTTGGAGTCAGCAGAGTCAGTTGGAGTCAGCGGAGTCAGTTGGAGTCAGCGGAGTCAGCTGGAGTCAGCTGGAGTCAGCTGGAGTCACTGGAGAATCTGAGTGACGCCAACTAACCCTAAGTGACTACCATTGATTCTGAGCGACCTCCATTGACTCCGATTGACTCTACTGACTCCACTGACTCTAAATGATCCCTATTGATTCCACTGACTAGAAGTGTCTCTTTTGCATTCCGTTCCTAGGAATGGGAACGCGAGTTGCGTTCTCGTTCCCAGGAATACGAGCGAGAACGCATAACATTTACAATTTTTACTATCTGAATACTGGTCAATCCGGTTTTTCGAGGCTGATAATTCAACCAATCAAATGTTTCTAGTGTTTGAATTCTAGCCAATCAGATTTTTTGAGACTAGAAATTCAGCCAATCAGGTTTTTGGAAACTGAAAATTCATCAAATGAAATGTTTTTATTGTTTGGATTCTAGCCAATCGGATTTTTGGAGACTGGAAATTCGGCTAATCAGGTTTTCCGAGGTTAGGAATTCAACGAATCAAACATTCTTACTGTTTGGATTATGGCTTGGACAGTGTAGTTAAAAATTTGAATTTGGTGAAATGTTCAAAACACTCTCTAATCTGAGCTGATATATTCGAACAATTCAGCTCTGCTCTCAGGAACTGTTGAAACATTTCACAGTTCAGGTGCTGGAACTGAGGTACCCAGAAAATTTCGACTCTAATTTTTTCCAAAATAGTTCTGGATTTTAAAGGTATTAGTTTTGTTTCATGGTAGGGCACTTTTGGGTCCTAAAAGCAAACAAGATTTTGAAGACCGTCAATTCCTGAAAGTTATTATTGAAACCGATCTTGATCTAAGCTAAAAAGCTCGAATAATTCCGCTCAACTCCTCGAAACTTTTTAAAGTTCTTTTGATTTGAACTGTACTGTGAAAACAGTGCATCAGCTTCTTTGGTCTGAGCTGTATGAGCTGAAACTGTTCTAGATCTAGTCTAGATTCTGGCTGCTCAGCTGTTATCGGTCTGGAGACTATGTGCGTGTGGATGTTTACTTCATGTAAACCTAAACCAATCCTCAGAGCCACGCCCACAGCCCACAGCCGATACCCACACCTAAATGCACACGCACACACACCCAGACATTCATTCCATGTACTGGAAGACCCATGGTTGCCTCTGTCCACACTCGCAAATGAACTGAAAATCATATCCACACTCGCGCACAGCGATACACGAATGGATTCAACTTTCAGCATTCAGAAACATCATTGACTGAAACTAGGATAGTGAACATATTTCATTGATCGAGCAATGAATTCAAAGTCCTAGGGTTCAGGGAATTTGAGTGATCAACAGATTTCCTTGATGACTGTCTCCGATAAAACAGAATGTGAAAACAAATAGCAGCATGTCAAGACATATTCTTTCGAGACTACGAATCGTTGTCGAAGCTATAAAGACAGCTATTTGAAGGATTCCTTTGCTAACCATCTTTGGTAGAACTATTTTACCCCAGCATAATATTTGCTACTGCCTTACCTACTTATTGAGCTTTAAAGTTAATGGAACTCAGATTCCAACTTCCGATATCAAAATTCCTAGATGGAGCAGTTTTTGGAAAACTCGGTTCTTACTGGATTGTGGTTCACTGATAAAATTTTGATGAAAATCGAGTCAAGATTCACAATTTTCGTCTTAGTAATTTAATACTCAAATGGATAGCAGTCTGAATATTCTTTCGGTGACTAAGAAGTATGGCGCAAATTTGCCACCATGCAGACGTCACAGAAGCTCACAGATCTCCATTTTGAATCGGAAAGATAAAACTTATAGAATTCAGAAATATACTTTATTGGCGAATTTTAGGAATACAAAAATTCTATCGATTGAGTATCAGATCCGACAAACAATTGACCGACTGATTTTACGTATGGCAAGATAGAGTACTGCGCGGATACAATATTTCGTACCCATGTTCGACCCGAACAAGAATCAAGGCGCTACACTCCAGAAAGTCGATTTTCGTCAACAAAAAAATTATTTTTGAGAAAAGTGTACAGGGATACCACCTGAGATCTCTACTTTAAAGATTCATAAAAAAGTTTCAGCTTTGAAAGGTTTCAAAAAGAGCTACTGTAAGTTTCTGAAACTCTCTATGGTAATATTCCTAGGCAAAATTTCGAAAACACCAAAGGAAAACGTGCATATCGCTGTCCTCTATTACCTGCATATGGCGTTAAAAGCATAGGCTTATATATCTTGTTGAGCTTTAGTGATTGATATACGATATCAACATGTTTCATGTTGGTGTCTAACGACAGACCGATAAAATGCAGAAAAAAAGTTTTTACATTTTTCTCAAAATTAATTTTTATGCCAATGGCCAATCTCCGCGCAAAATTTTTTTTAATATACTTCGTTCTAGAAAACTAGATTTTTTTTCATTTATTAAGGCAATCAATTCTTCTTCGGATGAGAGGAAGAAATTTTTTAATTAGGCTCTAGTCCTTCAGAAAATCTCGTCTGTCTGAAAAACCTATGATGGTATTTCAAGGTATTTGAGGTTTCGACGCCATCCAAAACTAAAGAGAGCAAGAATAAAAAATGTCTTCCCTCATCCGAAGGACTAAATAGTTCTTCTTCAAATAAAACAAACTCCAGTCCTCTACTTTGAAGCATAATGAAAAAAGGTTTGTATGAACTAAGGGCCCATTTTGGGTCTTGATCTCTAGAAAACTCCTGAACGCTGAGGTTTACAGAAGGAAAAAAAGTTCGTAAGTCTAGTTTTATGAGCCTAACATTCGTGAAAAGTTTCAGAGAGATCTCTTGCACTGTATCTGAAATCGACTTCCGAGGCGAGAAGTGAGGGGGAGCGGCCTTAATTTACCCATATCCTACCGGTGCTTGACAGTTTCTTACTTGTATATCTGATATCCGTGCATGGCTCGTGCTTTTTCCATACCTCCAATACCGTCAAGTCATCTTATACGTATGGTCTCCATTATCTAAATTCAACATACAAGGTCACTATTTTTCAACCTGATTCCATAAGAATCCAGTAATAATATTGATATGGCGAGAGTGTGGGCGTTCCTTTCTTTGGTACCCATACCAACAGCTACTGCCACACTTACAACCACACCCACTAGGGAGCTGTGGGTTCACGCTTTTGTGGAGCAGGACTCAAATTTGGACCCAAAGAGTATTAAAAATTTAGAGCAGAACTCGAAAAAAAAAATTAAAAATTTGAATCCGGATCCGATCGGATTCAGACTAGATCCTTACTGGATCCAAACCCGAGGTTTTTCCATCAATATCTGGCACGCTCCTCATACATAAACAAGTGAAGAGAGAATAGTTTTGCTAATTATTCGCTAATCTAAGAAAATATTCAACATATAGTTATATTTTGTTGCCGTAGTTCTCACTAGGAGAGCTTCCGATCCACAAAATAAGTGTAAACGGGCCGGGCAAAAAATAAAACGTTGGATCTGGACCGCGACCTAATTGAGTTCAGGTCGGGATCTCGAAAGATCCACACCTTCCTAACATCCACAGCGTCAATCACGAATAAATGCAAGAGTATCTAACATACCTAGACTTAATGATTGTCACGAAGTCTCTAGCGTTCCCGCAGTCCCGCTCAATTCTTTTTCACTAGTTGTTCAACTAGCTGGAATATGTAACAGCGATAGCTAAATGAGATAGTTGTCGATAACTGACTGAATAATTTTGCTACCATTTTGGTATATCAGTATATTTTCGACGAACGAATTTCCTTTTCATATAGTCTTTTTTTTTCATCAAAGCGATCCGAATTTTTATGAGCTGATGTATCATCACTTTTCTCAGTAAATGAACTCAATACGTCGTTAACAGTAAGTGGAGCACTGCACGGATAAAACTTGTGATGTTACTCTATTCACACCTATTTATTTTTTATTCGTGCTCTACTCGTACCTGATAGCTTCGCATCCATATCCGACCAGTGCGTGGTAATTTCGCACCTGTACCCATATCGGTACAAGCATCCGGTCCGCGGGTTGCAGTGCTGTGGAAGAAATTGTATCAGTTGAGAGCCAGATGCGGAAACTATCTGGTTGGCTGCTTCCACGGATGGAAAAATCCTATTGGTTGAAATCCAGATGCGAAAGACACATGATTGGCTCGTTTTCTGAATCAAGATACCCTATTGATTGAGAGCCAAATGCAAAAAACACCTGACTGACTGGTCTTCTACATCAAGAAATTCTATTGGTTGATTTCACTAACTTTAAGTGACTCAAATGCTACAGAGTCGGCTGTTTTTTTGCTTGAGTTGGAGTCAATGGAGTCAATGGAGTCAGTTGGAGTCAGTTGGAGTCA